GGCACCTATCTCTTTTAGCTTATGATTCCCTTACCAGCTAGTTAGATTATTGAAGTTCATTTAGATTCAAAAACAATTTCCGTTTAATTGCATTTATCATTAGCTCATTCAGAGGTGAGGGGAGAACCTCAGGGAATATTGTCTATAAATGTATTTTGCCTCAAAGGGTCCAGGATGAATTAAGCTACAAAATTCAGTGAGATTGAGAGTGGAATTATTTTGTTTAGCCTTTATATTTTCTGGATATAATACCAATATATCACCCTCTCGCTTTGTCCTCATAACTTACTACTCTGTTGTGCACGTACGCATGTCTTGTGTGCGCGAGATACCTGTTTCCCATTACGAATTTTACAAGGCACTGCATAATTTCCTTTTCTTAAATGAAAATGTAATTTCCCCTTTAAAATGTATTTCTGATTACCTTTCAGACCTTGCAACTTTATTTTACTAAGAGACATTTGTAGCACAGCCATAAACCCAAAATTAGGTTTATTTCGTGAAAGTGAATGGTAGAATTTGTTCTGAGAAGAAACAGTCTCTTTTAAAATGAGCAAAATAAGCAACCTGTAGAAAGAGAAGAGGTTTTTAAGAAGGAAATAGTTAATTTTACAGGTTGTTGGCTAGTGTGTGTGTGTGTATGTCAACATACACATATGTATTTTGAGTTTATTGGTAGGAGATTCTTTCATTTTGTAATCATGTGAATTATTAAGTTTTAGTGACTTAGAAGTATTCTAAAGTCATTCTTAATGAAAATGTTATAATTTTATGAAAACCTTTATAAACAAATCATCTCTTGTCTTATGCGTGTTTCCAGCACTTGGTTTCAGCGTGGCTGCTTTTATTAAGATGGGACTTGGTAGACTCTAGGAAAGGAAGTCTGTGATGGAACTGATTGTTTTGAGCTGGAGAATGCAACTAATCCAATGTAGAGAAAAGTTTAATCCTGAAATTACATCAACTAAAATTTTTTTTTACTCTCTTGCATGGCTTAAATGTCTGAAAATGCATTTTAGTTTTTTTAGGAAAGAAAGGTAACCAAAATTACTTAAACACTCTAATTGACGGTAGTTTTGTGAGTTTGAAAGGCTGAAATTTAATTCAGAATATTCTATTATGATTTTGGACATACATGGCTTAAAATCTAAAGTATGATTTAACTTTAAAGTGTCTAATGAATTGTCCTTGTTATTAAAAAAAATCTACCAGTTTTTGCAGTTAGGCTGTTTGAAGTTACTGACTTTTCTCTAGAGGAAGTTAGAATTTTTTTATTTCTGTCTTGTCTTATTCTGTGCAGCATCATTAAATTAATTTTTTTCCCTGTTGCTTGTGCAATACAGGATCTTTGAGCCTAATCACAGAAATTGCCTATACCTCTGCAACGTTCCTAATACTACAGAAATCAAAACTGTT